CTGGTGCACGGGTGGGTGCCGGCTGGTTTGCCCTGAAGGGTGTCCTAGATCAGGGTGGGGGGTCCCTACTGGGGTGCCTGGCCAGCCTGGGTGAGGGGATGATGGCTGTTTGCAGCTGGTCACACACCCTTCAGGGTGGGGTTCCCCACTGGGGTGCCTGGCCAGTCTGGGTGAGGAGCTGAGGGCTGTTTTCAGGCTGGGGGTGACTGAAGCTCCCAACCGCTCCTTTTTTTCTTTTTCTTTTTTTATTCTGAGCCAGCTTTAGCTTTGAGGCTTGGCTCCAGCTCTTAGGACTCCACTGCTGAAAGTAGGTTTCTGGCCTTTGCTTACAATGTTGCGATCTTGCTGGCTGAAGGCCGGCGGACTAAAGCAGGTTTCTGGGGTTTTGTTTAGCTTCTATATTTGTTACATAGTTGCTTAGAGTTGCAGCTCAGAGGCCTTCAGTGGCAGGAGGGGAACGTTAGAGTCCTCCGTCACTGAAGCAAGCAAGCCTCATGTTACGTTCAAGCTGCCTGGCTGCCGGCCGCCATCTTGGCTGGCAGTTAGTTTGCATATCGTCCTGATTAGCCAATGGGAAGGGTAGCGGTCATACGCTAATTACCATGTTTCTCTTTTATTAGATAGGACTAGAGGCCCGGTGCACAAAAATTAGTGCACTCGCGGAGGAGGGGGGGGGTCCCTCAGCCCGGCCTGTGCCCTCTCACAGTCTGGGACCCCTCGAGAGATAACGACCTGCTGGCTTAGGCCTGCTCTCGGGTGGCAGAGGGCAGGCCCAATCCCTAGGTGCAGCCCCTGGTCGGGCTCAGAGCAGGGCCGATTGGGGAGTTGGGGCGCCTTCCCCTGTCATGCACAGAGCAGGGCCGATTGGGAGGTTGCGATGCCACCCTCAGTCACGCTCAGGGTAGGGCCGATTGGGGGGTTGGGGCACCGCCCCCGTCACACTCAAGGCAGGGTCGATGGTGAGGTTGCAGCGCCACCGCCTGTCATGCACAGAGCAGGGTCCATCAGGGGGGTTGGGGCTCCATACCCTGTCATGGACAGAGCAGGGCCAATCAGGGGGTTGGGGCGCTGCCCCCTGTCACGCACAGAGCAGGGCCCATCAGGGGGTTGAGGAGCTCCCCCCGTCACTCACAGAGTAGGGCTGATAGGAGAGTTGGGGCACCGCCCCCTGTCACGCACAGAGCAGGGCCCATCAGGGGGTTGAGGAGCTCCCCCCTGTCACTCACAGAGTAGGGCCGATAGGGGAGTTGGGGCACCGCCTCCTGTCACACTCAGGGCAGGGCGGATCAGGGGGTTGAGGCGCCGCCCTCTATCACCCACAGAGCTGGGCCGATCAGGGGGTTGGGGCGCCGCCACTGTCACACTCAGGGCAGGGCCGATGGGGAGGTTATGGCTCTACCCCATCACACACAGAGCAGGGCCCGTGGGGGGGCGGGGTTGGAGCGCTGCCTCTATCACCCACAGAGCAGGGCCAATTAGGGGGTGGGAGTGCCGCCACTCTCACACTCAGGGCAGGGCCGATGGGGAGGTTATGGCTCTACCCCATCACACAGAGAGCAGGGCCCCTGGCGGGGCGGGTTGGGGCGCCGCCCTCTATCACCCACAGAGCAGGGCCGATCAGGGGGTTGAGGCAGCGCACCCTGTCACACACAGAGCCGCAGGGCGATCAGGGGGTTGGGGGGCTCCCCCCTATCAGGCACAGAACCGGGCTAATCAGGGGGTTGGGGCTCCTTCCCCTGTCACAAACAAAGCAGGGCGGATATGGAGGTTGTGGCCCCGCCCCCTGTCACACACAGAGCTGCAGGGCGATCAGGGGGTTTGGGCGCTGCCCCGTGTCATGCTGATCCCGGTGCCGGGAGGCCTCTCGGCTCCGCTGATCCTGGTGCTGGAAAGCCTCGCGGCTCCGCTGATCCCAGTGCTGGGAGGCATATTACCCTTTTACTATATAGGATAGAGGCCTGGTTCATGGGTGGGGCTGGCTGGTTTGCCCTGAAGGGTGCCCTGGATCAGGGTGGGGGTCCCCACTGGGGTACCTGGCCAGTCTGGGTGAGGGGCTGAGGGCTGTTTTCAGGCCGACTGAAGCTCCCAACTGCTCCTTTTTTTTTTTATTTTTTACTTTTTTTTATTCTGGGCCAGCTTTAGCTCTGGCTCCAGCTCTGAGGCCTCTGCTGCTGAAAGAAGGTATCTGGTTTTTTTCGGTTCTATAATCGAAACAATGTATAACTCCAGCTCTGAGATCCCGGGCTCTCTGAAAGCAGGTTTCTGGGGTTTTGTTTAGCTTCTATATTTGTTACAATGTTTCTTAAACTGCAGGCTCAGAGGCTGGCAAGGCAGGCAGGGAACGTTGGAGTCCTCCGTCACTGAAGCAAACAAGCCTCATGTTAGTTTCAAGCTGCCTGACTGCCGGCCGCCATCTTGGCTGGCAGTTAATTTGCATATCTCGCTGATTAGACAATGGGAAGGGTAGCGGTCGTATGCCAATTACCATGTTTCTCTTTTTTTAGATAGGATAGGATATGCATAGCCCTTGGACATGGGCGATAGGATGGTGAAGACCTGGGGGATCGGTAGGGGCTGGGAGGAGCGGTGTAAGGGGGAAGAAAATGAAGATATCTAATACTATACTATCAATAATAAAAATATGTATATTTTAAAAATAAAACTATAACCCTTAATAGATTAAAAAAATACAGGAAGAAAATGTTAGAACTTTTATCTTGTACTTTAATTATTTTGTTTCTGTGTATGGTTTATAATGTATATAAAATATGAATGTCATAGGACATGTACTATAATAAACAAAAATATGTGTAAAAAATAAAAATAAAACATTGATCAGTTGAGGGACCTGAAACATGTGTTCCATTAGTGCTAATTTTGAATAGATTTTGGTCATTGCTACTGCTATATAACTCCTTTCTTCAACTTATTCCTCCTTATTCACCCAACTGTAAGGAAGGTAAGAACTTCCCCATAAAATACTGTTTCATCTGTAATAACTCAGATGAGGAGAATCAAGCCCAAAACTTCAAAGTCATTCCCTAAGAAAGGATAAGTCTGAAAAATTGAATCTTTTTTAATTGCACACCTACGTTCTCACAAAAGGAATCATATCCTTGAAGTACTTGAAATATGAAAGGATATCTCTCAGGTAATGCTACATATTAATTCTCCTGGAGCGGTTTAGATTCTTCCTAATAAAGCAACTCAAAATCTTAAAAAACACCATGACAGTATGTTACTTTTTTATGATGCTATTATAATGTTGCTCTAAATTAGAATCCCAGATTTTTAGCTTTTTGTATGCTGAAATACTGTCTTTTCTCTCTCTCTTTCTTTTCTCCATCTCTGTTATCAAGTAGATACACTTTTCAAAAAAAAAAATTCATGTGACTTTTGGATAGTTCATATGCATCAGCATATAGCTACAGCATACAATTAATTTTTAAAGATGTGTGGCTTGTGCAGCCAGCATGGCTCAGTGATTGAGCATTGACCTATGAGCCAGGAGGTCACAGTTTGATTCTTGGTCAGGGCACATACCTATGTTGGAGTTCAATCCCTGTGGGGGGGTGTGCAGGAGGCAACTGATCAATGATTCATCATTGATGTTTCTCTCTCTCCCTTCCTCTCTGAAATCAATAAAAAAAAATTTTAAAGAAAAGATTTGTGGCTTATTTTTTACATCTCCCTCTAAATTTCCTTTAGTGTAGGAGGTGAGCATTTTCTCCTGGATCTCTTAAATTGAACGTCATTTAAACTAAATGAAGAAGACACTACACCTGCTGATATTATGAGATGTCTGTAACCTCAACTCTAAACTTGGTTGGTCAAAATTATATAGAAAAAATGTCCTTTCATTGCACTGATGCAGAAATATAGTAGTTACCTACTAATGAAGCTTCCTTATAATTAAAGGACCAAAATAAAGGCCTTAAAATTTTCACATAAATTTTATTTGTGGTTCATTAAAGAAAGTTATTGCACTTGGTATGGTGACTTTAACAGCATGAATATGATTCTAACTGAATTGTAGGAAATAGGCAACTTTGCAGTTTCAATACATTTTTAAGTATCACTCTATATTATAAGATAAACTAGGAAGTCAAGGTATTTCTTTTGATTGAAATTTGTATAATCTACAATGCTTGGGAGATCTTAAAGATATGCAGAGATTGATATTGCAGTGTTCTTCAGGCCAAAGCAACCCAAATTTAATTTATTTAAGCTAACCTCCTAAAAGCCACCTAACCCTGATTCAGCAGGTACCATGGATTTAATCTTGCTACAGGGTTTCTAAACTCTTCCATGAAATTTTGACAGGCCTTTTAATTTAAGGGTGGCTCTGAGCAAAGGTTTCACACCTTCTGAAATAAGTTGAATTGCCACAGTTGAAATCTATATTCATACAGTGTGTTTAGGGTTGTCATGTGCATGCTGTTTTCAGTAACACAGATTATAGGCACAGTAGTATTATTTGAAGACCAAGAATTAAGTTATGTATATTTATATTCTGGTATTCTAGCTATTCTCTTAAAAGATACTGGTTATTGTAGGCACCAGTTACTGGCATCTTGTTTTTAGAATTTTATCTTTCCTCATGAATTATATTTACTTTTCTCCCCTTTCATTAAATATTTTGTTTTTATTTATAATGAAAACTAGAGGCCCAATGCATGAAATTCGTGCAAGAGTAGGCCTTCCTTCCCCCAGCTGCCAGCACCGGCTTCCCTCTGGCACCTGGGACCTGGGCTTCCCTTGCAGCCCCAGCTTCATCTGGAAGGATGTCTGGTCTAATTAGCATATTATGCTTTTATTATAGTGTTCATGCCCACATGTAGAGATGAAGTAGAGAATAAATTTAATACATTTATTTTTATGAATATCATTTTTGAAAAGAGCATATATAATTTTATTTTTTTTAACTAAGCTTGTAAATATTGAGCAGTTTTGTTGTGGAGTTTTTCTTGTGTCTTTTATTCTTTTCCATTATTAATCAGGAGCCAACAGAGAAGAAATAATGAAGCATTGGGATTGGTTGGAACAAAATATCATGAAGACTTTATCTGTGTTTGACTCAAGTGAAGATATTACTAATTTTGTACAAGGAAAGATAAGAGTAAGTGGCCTGGGTACAATTTGTAGATGAAATAACAAAAATCTTGACCCTCTTATTGAAGTATTAAAAGCTGCATAGAAGGTCAATGTTTTATTGGCACCTTTTAGGATTGGCAGAAGCACACATATGAATGTCAGAATCAGTGCTAAAGAAAAATTGCAAAGTCAGTGGTTAGTTTTTGGTGCCCTTGTGAGTGCTCTTAGGGATATTTTCATTTTAATATCTCTTGAGTTTGGAGTTAGAGTGAACACTTCACTCAATCAAAACAATATTTAGCATCTGTATTTCTGGTAGTTCTTTGTGAGGCATTAGAAAAAACCTAATGACAAAATTAAAGAAAATCTCATCTCTGTCCTAAGTATGTAATATGCATACATATACATATGATATATGTATCTGTGTAGATATACACAGTTGTATTCAATGAACTGTTTAAATATATGAAATAAATTTTTGTTGATAGGTAATGATTGATTTTCAGAAAATATTTTGTCTCCCTTAGGGATTAATTGCTGAAGAGGGAAAACATTCTTTTGCAAAAGAAGATGACCCTGAGAAATTTCGAGAAACTCTCTTGAAATTTGAAAAATGTTTTGGTTTGCCAGAGCAGGAGAAATTAGTGACGTATTACTCATGCAGTTATTGGAAAGGACGGGTTCCTTGTCAGGGCTGGCTCTATCTTAGCACCAACTTCCTGAGCTTCTATTCTTTTTTGTTGGGATCAGAAAGTAAGTGATTTCTATTGCTTACCATGACTTTGAACTTTCTGACTGACTTATCAACTCTGTAGTGGTATTAGATTGTATATAAAGTACTAGGATTGATATTAAGGGTAATTAAACTGTACATTAAAAGTTCAGTTGATCTAGCCCTGGCCGGTGTGGCTCAGTTGGTTGGAGCATTATCCAGTGCAACTGAAAGGTTTCTGGTTCGATTCCCAGTCAGGACACATTCCTATGTTGGGGGTTTAATCTCTGGTGAGGGTGTTTATGGGAGGCAACTGATCAATGATCTCTCTCTCTCTCTCTCTCTCTCTCTCTCTCTCTCTCTCTCTCCCCCGCCCCCATCACTTTCCCCTTCTCCCTCTTTCTTTCTCTCTCCCTCCCCCCCTCTCTCTAAATATAAAACAAGTTTACTACATCTAGAGAAAGAATTCTTTTAAGGCTGGTTATTTAACATAGGAACCATAAGAAATATGTATAAAATGTCTTGCATAATGCCTTTCATATTGTGGGAAGTGAATGAATATGAAATGATGGTGATCTAGCATATAACTCCTTTTCTTCAGTTGTTATAAACTACCTACTTTCCTCGATCTATGCTTTAATCCTTGTTTTAAACATACAATATAAATATAGTAGCCATAGTACCACTATGTAATTATGTAAAGTAACAGAATAATTTATATCTATTCCTAGACTCCCCAATTATTATGTTTATGGTTATGTTTTAAAATTATAACTAATGTTGGATTCAAAGATTTTAGTTGTTCATATCATTTTTCAAGTATGTTACTATTCTTTTGAAAGACCTGATTGATAAACATTAATCAACATTTACAAATTTAATCTGATCTACTTATAACTCTTATTTACAGTAAAACTCATTATCTCCTGGGATGCTGTCTCAAAACTTGAAAAGACTTCAAATGTCATACTGACAGAGAGTATTCATGTGTGTTCTCAAGGGGATAGCCACTACTTTTCCATGTTTTTGCATATTAACCAAACATACCTTCTTATGGAACAGCTAGCCAACTATGCTGTAAAGAGACTTTTTGATAAGGAAACATTTGATAATGACCCAATTCTTGATGATCCTCGACAAATCACCAAAAGGTATTCAAACCTTAATTAATACTTACTTTTTTAAAATATTGTTTGACCAAAGAATGGTAGCATGGATTAGCATTAAAAGTTAACCATTCTGTATTATGTGATGTGCTTTTTTGGGGGGGGTGGTAATTATTGATATTTATTTATATGCATTTCACAAATAGTGTTCTCTTCATGAAATTTAGTGCTAAGAAGCAATTGAAGTTAGGTTTGAAAATTATTTCTTGAGATCCCAGTAGGATTTGCCATGGAGTGCTTTTAAAAATGTAGAGATTTATATGTGCAAGGTTAATCTAACTCTAAATTTCTGTATGAGTAGTATAGTTTTAGGTCTGAAATTATTAAATGTATTTATTTTAAAATAATTTATAAAGAGCATTGTTTTTTGTTTTGTTGTTTTATGTTTTTAAATATTTTTTATTGATTTCAGAGAGGAAGGGAAAAGGAGAGAGAGATAGAAACATCAATGATGAGAGAGAATCATTGATCGGCTGCCTCCTGCACGCCCCACACAGGGGATCGAGCCCCCAACCCAGGTATGTGCCCTTGATCAGAATCCAACCTAGGACCCTTCAGTCCCCAGGCCGGCCTTCTATACACTGAGCCAAACTGGCTAGAGCAAGGGCATTGTTTTTTTATGAAGAGGCAAGTTTGTGGAGTCAGTGGAGAATATAGTGTTTAAAAGGAGAGTACAGGAACTCTTGGACAAGTCATAATCACTCAGGACCTCTGTATTTTCAGAGAGCACTTATAAGGAATGAGCAATATATTATGTGAAAGCAATTTATAAAATATAAAGTACTAGATAAATATTAATAATTAGTTTCTGCATCAGAAGTATATGTCTGAAAGCTGTTTGCCTCTATATGTATTTAGTTTGCTATCACATATTCTACAATTTGCTTCCCCTCCTTAAAATAATATATCATGGACTTCTTTTCATTGATATAAATAAACCTCATCCTTTTAAATAATAATGAAATAACCCATTGAATTACAATTTGAGTTAAAATTAATGTGGTTTTCCGTTCATATTTATAAAAATTATTTTTTTTCAATTAAATCTTTATTGTTCAGATTATTACATTAGTTACTCTTTTTTCCCACCATAACTCCCCTCCACCCAGTTTCCACCCCACCCTCCACCCTCACTCCCCACCCACTGTCCTCATCCATAGGTGCACGATTATTGTCCAATCTCTTCCCTCACCCCCACACCCCTTCCCCCCCCACAAGAATAGTCAGTCCATTCCCTTTCTATGTCCCTGATTCTATTACAATCACCAGTTCATACTGTTCATCAGATTATTTATTCACTTGATTTTTAGATTCACTTGTTGATAGATGTGTATTTGTTGTTCATAATTTGTATCTTTACCTTTTTCTTCTTCTTCCTCTTCTTAAAGGATACCTTTCAGCATTTCATATAATACTGGTTTGGTGGTGATGAACTCCTTTAGCTATTTTCTTATCTGTGAAGCTCTTTATCTGGCCTTCACTTCTGAATGATAGCTTTGCTGGATAAAGTAGTCTTGGTTGTAGGTTCTTGGTATTCATCACTTTGAATATTTCTTGCTACTCCCTTCTGGCCTGCAAAGTTTCTGTTGAGAAATCAGCTAACAGTCGTATGGGTACTCCCTTGTAGGTAACTGATTTTCTTTCTCTTGCTGCTTTTAGGATTCTCTCTTTGTCTTTTGCTCTTGGCATTTTAATTATGATGTGCCTTGGTGTGGTCCTCTTTGGATTCCTTTTGTTTGGGGTTCTCTGTGCTTCCTGGACTTGGAAGTCTATTTCTTTCACCAGGTAGGGGAAGTTTTCTGTCATTATTTCTTCAAATAGGTTTTTAATATCTTGCCCTCTCTCATCTTCTGGCACCCCTATAATTCGGATGTTGGTACGCTTGAAGCTGTCCCAGAGGCTCCTTACACTATCTTCGTATTTTTGGATTCTTTTTTTATTTTGCTTTTCCGGTTGGGTGTTTTTTGCTTCTTCGTATTTCAAATCTTTGACTTGATTCTTGCGACCCTCTAGTCTGCTGTTGGGAGTCTGTATAATATTCTTTATTTCAGTCAGTGTATGCTTAATTTCTAGTTGGTTCTTTATCACAACATCGAGGGTCTCATTAGATTTCTTGAGGATCTCACTGCATTTATCGGCGGTCTCACCAGTCTTTTCGAGGGCCTTATTAAATTTATCAGCAGCTTCTAGACAGTTCTTTAAAGACCTTAAAAGTGTGGTTTTGAACTCTATATCCAACAGTTTGCTTTCCTCTAATTCTGTTGTTTGTGTCCTGTTTCTTTGTCTCGGCATTTTTTATGCTTCACTGTGTCGATAGAGTGCCTTTCTGTGCTAAGTGTCCCAATCACCTGAGGTAGACACTCTTGGTGCACCCCCTTGTGGGCTTTGTGCACAGTCTTGTTGTAGTTAAGCCTTGATTGTTGTAGTTATCACTGTGAGGAATTGACCTCCAGGCCAATTGGCTGTGAGAATCAGCTGTGTCTGCAGTGGGAGAACTTCTGTGCTGGAGACACCCCTCTGGGGCTAGACTTGCTTCAATGGGGCTTTGGTGCTCACTGAGTCTGCCCCTGAGTGTGTCTTTTATGGTTCCACGGAGCTGAAAACTGGGATGGTCCCACTCTGACCTCTGGGTTTCCTGGCTCCTGGATCTCTAGGGAGGTGCTAATCTAGCCTTTGCCTGAGGCTATCCAGCAAAAGCCTCCCTGCAGGGCTTGGCGGGGCAGGTCCCACGGGATCAACAGGGTGGGGTTAGCAATTATGGCTGCTCTCAGTCTTGCCCTCAGAGGCTCTGCTTCTCAGTGTCCCAGTAATCACTGCAAGCCCCACGGAGAGAAAGCTGCCCTAGGGTTCTGAGTGATGCCAGACAGTCCCGCTTCTCCCGTATGAGTCTGGGCCCCTAGAGACTCGCCCAGAACTTTAGCTCAGAGCCTGAGACTCCCTCCCGATTGAAAACGACAACGGCACCCTCAGCCGCCAGCCCGCTCCGCATGCACTCCGCACCTTAGTATTTTACTTCAGCACTGTGCCTCCTCTGAGTCTCGGTATGCTTTTCTCTTTCCTTCTAGTTGTAGAATTTCCCCTCAGCCAGCTTTCCTGTGGTTCTGGATGATGTCCGTTCCGTCTTTTAGTTGTATTTTTGAAGTGGTTGTTCGAGGCAACAAACTCCAGTGTTTACCTATGCCGCCATCTTGGTTTCTCCTATCAAAATTATTTTGAAAGACATGAAGTATCTCATATTCAAATAGTATATGCTGGAATGATGAATTTAGTTTTAATTTTGTTGGCTCTGAGTTAGAACTTGCATAATTTACTTACTACTCCAGATGGCATAGCTGCTTAACTTGAGTGTTTAGTGCCACTAGAAAATTGTTCTATTTTAAGCAATTGTTTTTTATTTATATATGTATGTATAAGTTAACAACTAATCTGTATTTATTGACACCTATATGGTGCCTAATACTGTGCAAACAGTATTGTTTTATCTTGCTTCTAATTTGGACTTTTTAAAATATTAATATTATCTTTTATGTACTATTTATCTTTTATGCAAAATTTTAGTTTTAATATTACTTTTTATGCATTAACTTTCTCTCTAAATTTGGATGCCATAAATTTTCATTATTTTATTTTGTTTGAACTGGGTAACATGATTTTCTGATAACCAGATTATAACGATTACTGTCTACTGAGATTAGTTTTAGCCATAATCAATAATATGACAATATAGTAGTATAATAATAATCTTCCAGCAAATCACTCCTTAGCAGATGGTTTGAAGACCTATATTATCTCTAATTTTTGTGCATTCTAATCCACTAATTTAAAAAATTGGAAAAGAGAACAAACAAAATGAATCTGTTAGGAATCAGTAGTTTCTTCCATTTCATAATTTGTTGAAGAATATAGCATCTAGTGTTTAAACTTTCTGCTTTACATTGCATTTGTATTAATCAGTATAAACATGTGCACCCTTTAGAAGTCATTATTTTATTTAAGTCCCCCTTTTTTCTTTCCTACAGAGGTCTAGAAGATCGAGCCCACAGTGAGCAGTTTAATGCTTTTTTTAGGCTGCCCAAAGAAGAGACTTTGAAAGAAGTACATGAATGTTTTTTATGGGTGCCATTCAGCCACTTCAATGCTCATGGCAAAATGTGCATCTCAGAGAACTATATCTGCTTTGCTAGCCAGGATGGCAATCTATGCAGTGTAATCATTCCATTTCGAGAGGTAATGTAAGTTTGGTTGCGTACCAGTTTTTAGTTTGAAGATATTAACATTCAAAGAGGAAAATTTCCTTTAATTCTATAAAGTATTAAAAACTCATTATGCCACTTTATTTTAGTAATTTTTAGATAATAATTTTTAAGTCAGCATTATTCTTTAGGATAAGAATACTAAGAGCCTTATAGCTCTTGTTGAAAATGAAAAAAGTTACATAAAAATTTAGAAACAGGGTTAGGGTTTAGGATGACTCAAAATGGAACATGATTAGACAGACATATATGACATGAACACCAAAACTTAGATATTTGATATGCACAGTCAAAAAAGATAGAATTGATAGCTTTTGTGTAAGTCAAAAATAGTCAGCATTGCACCACTAAATTGTGTTGTCATTTTTAAAGACTACATGTTAGTTAAGACTTTCCCTTGAGAAGTTAAATAACTTGTACCTGTATCAGTGGTACAACTAGTACATAAAGTCTATTTCTTTTTTTTAGGATAATAAGAAATTTTATTATTTCCTTTTTAAATTTTTTTCAATTACAATTGACATTCAATATTATATTAGCTTTAGATGTACAGCATAGTGGTTAGATATTTACACCCCCCAATAAGTCTAGTACTCCCTGACAACATACATAGTTATTACAATACTAGTGATCCAGTGCACAGATTCATGCACATTGAAAGGAAATTAATTAGAAAGTGGCTGGTGGGGCGGGACTGGGCGAGATGGGCCAGACACATCCTGGAGCCAACCTCCTGCGGTCCCTACCTGGCATCTGCAGAGTGAGTGGGGTCCCTCTGGCAGGTGGGGTCCCTCGGCCTGGCCTGTGGGGATCTGGCTGAAACCAGTTCTCCGACATCCCCCGAGGGGTCCTGGAGTGCAAGAGGCCACTCTGAAAAGTTGCTGTAGTACAGGGTGTGGAACGCAAATGCAAGTGTGCAGTAAACCAGATTCAGGGCTGACAGTGCCCCAGCAACAACATAACCCACAGCCAAAGGTGGATTTGCATGGCCCCGCGAGGAATCAGGCTCCCTCCTCTCTGGTTTTGAGGTGCGTGACCTGAGAACCACTGCTGCCAAGTCACTGCTGCTCAGCAGCTCCTGCATTGAACATCTGCCCCCTGGTGGTCAGTACGCGTCATAGCGACCGGTCGGACGATCGGAAACTTAGCATATTAGCCTTTTATATATAGACTAGAGGCCCGTGCACAGAATTCGTGCATGGGAGGGGGTGTCCCTCAGCCTGGCCTGCACCCTCTCAAAATCTGGGACCCCCTCGAGGGATGTCTGACTGGCAGTCGGACATCCTTCTCAAAATCCGGGACCACTGGACTCTAACTACACGTCTGCCTGCCTGATCACCCCTAACTGCCTCTGCTTGCCTGATTGCCCCTCAGCACTCTGCCTGCCTGCCTGATTGCACCTAAGCACTCTGCCTGCCTGATAGCCCCTAACCACTCTGCTGCCTCCTTGATCACCCCTAACTGCTCACCTGCCTGCCTGATCACCCCTAACACCTCTGCCTGTCTGATTGCCCCTAACTGCATCTGCCTGCCTGATAGCCCCTAACCACTCTGCCTTCCTCTGTGATTGCCCCTAACCACTCTGCCTGCCTCCCTGATCGCCCCTAACTGCTCGTCCATCTGCCTGATTGTCCTAACCGCTCGCTGGGGGCTGCCGGCCAGGGTGAGGCACCATGGTCCATGGTCATTCTGGTCTCTGATCGTTCTGGTCATTCTGCCATTTTGGTCCTGGGCTTTTATTATGTAGGATTAATGACTATATTCCTTATGCTATACTTTACATCCCCATGATTATTTTGTAACTGCCAATTTGTACTTCTTAATCGCTTCACCAGCTCTCCAAACCTCTTCTCATCAGATAACCATTAATTTGTTCTCTGTATCCATGAGTTTCTTTCTTTTTTTTCAATTTGCTTTATTTTTCTGCTGAATTGAGTACTCGCTCCTAGTTAAGTTAGATTTTTTAAAAAATGTGTTCTAAACATTAGCACAGGGAGCAACACCTTACCAATAACCAAATAATAAAACAAACTAGATCCCAGTGGTTATGGCCACATCTAAGTTGTTGTGATGATCAGGAACTCTTTTATTTGTTTGCGTTAGTTTTTAGTTCTTGATTTTATCTCCAAATACGAAAGAGCTGAGAGGCTCCTGCTGCCCCAACAAAGAAATTAACAGCAAACTCCAGTTTTTTGGAATAATTACAAGTGAGTATCTTGACCAAATAAGCCCTGTAACCATCAAAACAACAGACTGAGCTGTACTGAGATTTTCTGCAGGTCAAGCCATGTCAGCCAATCCAGTACACACCACCCCCAATTCATAATTGGAGCCCAGAAAACTGTTCTTGGACTTGCCAGATGGTTGTACAGTGGCCTCAATTTCTCAGGCAGCATGAGCTCCACTTTATCGAGGACCCGGTGGTAGGTGGCCCTCAGGCCACGGACACTGGTGGCTGATATCTCTGTGGATGAGGGATCGTGGCCAGGCAGGCGGGTGGTCACATACTCATCCCTGGCTGACAATGAAGGGCAGCTTGTCACTTCCCCTGCCTCAGGGCCTCACGTCCTCCTCTCCCCTGGGGTGCCCACCCCACCGCTGTTCAGCCTGTCCCCCCTGCGAATCACCCTGGAGCTGGTCCAGGAGAAGACCGAGGAGACCTGTATCTATGAGTTTTTTCTTTTTTGTTTGTTCATTGATTTTATTTTTTAGATTCCACATATAAGTGAAATCATATGGTATTTGTCTTTTTCTGTCTGACTTATTTCACTTAACCTAATACCTGCTAAGTACATCATGCTGTCACAAATGGTAAGATTTTATTCTTCTTTATGGCTGACTAATATTCCATTGTATATAAGTACTATGACTTCTTTATCCAGTCGTCTATTGATGGACACTTAAGTTGTTTCCATATCTTGGCCATTGTAAATAATGTCACGTTGAATAGGGGATGCATATATTTTTTTGGATTTCTTGGGATAAATAACAAGATGGTGGAATGGTAGTTGTGTTTTTAATTTTTTGAGGAACATGCATACTGTTTTCCATAGTGGCAGCACAAATTTTCAATTTCACCAACAGTGGACAAGGATTCTTTTTTCTCCACATCCTCTCCAACACTTGTTTGTTGAATTTTTGATAATAGCTATTTAGGTAGGTGTGAGGTGAGATCTCATTGTGGTTTTTCAAAGTTTATTATTTAATAAGTCATACCAGGAACCTAAACTTTAGCCACAAAAGAGTTAGCTAAACACATTTTGCCTGGAAGTGTAAGCATCAAGGGAGAATGTGATTCATTTATAATATGTTTTTACTTCCCCCTCCCCCAGGTCTTAGCTATAGATAAGACACATGATTCCAGCAAATCTGTCATCATTAGCATCAAAGGAAAAACAGCTTTTCGCTTCAGTGAAGTTATAGACTTTGAACAACTGGTGGCAAAACTCAGGCTCAAGTGTGGGACAACTTTAAATCAATATCATGATATTAGCACAGAGGTAATTATATAGCAATCAAATAATTTTGAAAAAATGTTATGTGTTTTGTGTGGTCCATTATTTCAAATGTAATTCATAGTGACTTTCCTATTCATTCTTATATTTAATTTTTTAAAAGACTAATACCAAAGAAATTATATTCTCTAAGACCCATTATAAAGTAGAATTGAGAATTAGGAATGTATCCTTTTTAGGAACTCATAAACAATTTATTTTTCATTTTATTTAATATTTGTTAATCCTCACATGAGGATATTTTTTTCCCATTGATTTTTAGAGAGAGTGGAAGGGAGGGGGAGAGACAGAGAGAGAAACATGGATGTGAGAGAGACACTATCTATTGGTTGCAACCAGGACCTGGATCTAGCCCACAACCAAGGCATGTGCCCTTGACAAGAATCAAACCCATGACCCTTCAGTCTGCAGGCAGTGCTCTAACCACTGAACTACCGCCTAAGGCAAAAAAAATTTCTTATTTTTATTTATTTTTTAAATATATTTTTATTGATTTTAGAGAGGAAGGGAGAGGGAGATAGGAACATCATTGATGAGAAAGAATCATGGATTGACTGCCTCCTGCATGCCCCACACTGGGGATCGAGGCCACAACCTGGGCATGTGCCCTTGACCGGAATTGAACCTGGGACCCTTCAGTCCACAGGCCAACGCTCTATCCACTGAGCCAAACCCGGTAGGGCAACAATTTATTTTTTATTTATAGTTTACATTTAATAACTTAATTTATATTAGTTACAGGTGTACAGAATACTGGTTATGCAATCACATACTTTACAAAGTGTTCTCTCCAATATTTCAAGCATCCACCTGGCACCATGAATAGTTATTATAATATTATTGACTATATTCTCTATGCTGTACTTTACATTCCCATTATTATTATTATTACTGTTATAATTATTATTATTATTTTGTTGTTGATAATCCTCACCTGAGGATATTTTTTCCATTGATTTCTAGAGAGAGTGGAAGGGATGGGGAGAGACAGAGAGAGAGAGAAACATCAATATGAGAGACACATCAATTGGTTGCCTCCCACAATCACCCCGACCAACGCTAGGGATCAAGCTTGTAACTGAGGTATATGCCCTTGACTGAAATCGAACCTGTGATGTTCTAACCACTGAGCATCAGCTAGGGCCCTATGATTATTTTGTAACTACCAATTTTTACTTCTTTTTTAAAATACCTTTTTATTGATTTCAGAGAGAAAGGGAGAGGGAGAGAGAGATAGAAACATCAATGATGAGAAAGAATCATAGACTGGTTGCCTCCTGTACACCCTCCATTAGGGATAAGCCCACAACCCTAGGCATGTGCCCTGACCAGGAATCGAACCGTGACTTCCCGGTTCATAGGTGATGCTCAACCACTGAGCAACACTGGCTGGGCCCAATTTGTACCTCTTGATCTTTTCACCTGGCACTGTACATAGTTATTACAATATTATTGACTATATTCTTTATGCTGTATTTTATATCCCCATGATTATTTTGTAACTATCAATTTGTACTTCGTAATCTCTTCATCTTTTTCAGTTTTGTTTTCTCTTTCTTTAGATTTCACATATAAGTGAAATCATGTGGTATTTTTCTTTCCCTGAAGGACTTATTCCACTTAGCATAATACCCTCTAGGTCCATCGATGCTGTTGCAAATTGTAAGATTTCATTCATTTTTATGGCCAAGTAATATTCCATTGTGTGTGTGTATGTGTGTGTATATGTAAATTAAAAATAAAGAGAGATCCAAAATGGCAGTGGATTAGTTGGAAGCTACACTAACTACATTTTTTACATTTTTTAAAATTGATTTTTAGAGAAAATGGAAGAGAGAGATAGAGAAACATCCATTTGTTGCCTGGTGCACGAAATTTGTGCACTCTGTGGGGGGGGTCCCTCAGCCCGGCCTGCGCCCTCTCACAGTCTGGTAGCCCTCGTGGGGTGTCCAACTGATGGCTTAGGCTTGAGCCCGGCTTCTGGCTGAGCAGTGCTCCCCCTGTGGGAGCACACTGACCACCAGGGTGCTGCTTCTGTGTTGAGCGTCTGCTGCCTGGTGGTCAGTGTGTATCATTGTGACTGATTGTTCCACCATTCAGTCGATTTGCATATTAGCCTTTTATTATATAGGATATGCACCACAATTTTCTTATCCAGTCCTCTATTGATGACACTTGGGTCACTTCCATTTTTTGACTATTGTTAACAGTGCTGCAATGAGCATAGGGTTGCATATATACTTTACGTTTTTTATTTTCTGAGGTAACTCCATGCTGTTTTCCACAGTGGCTGCACCAATCTGAAATACCACCAACAGTGCATTAGGCTTCCCTTTTCTTCACATTATCACCAGAACTTGTGTGTTGATTTATTGATAATAGTGATTCTGACAGGTGGTATCTCATTGTGGTTTTAATTTGTATTTCTCTGATGATTAGTGGTGTTCAGCATCTTTTTATATGTTAAATGGCCATCTGTATATCTTCTTTGGAGAAATGTCTATTCAGTTCCTCTGTCCTTTGTTTTTTAATCCTCACCTGAAGATATATTCTTTATTGAAATGAGAGAGAGAGAGAGAGAGAGAGAGAGAGAGAGAGAGAGAGAGAGAGGCAGACACATCGATTGGCTGTCTCCCATATGCAGCCTGACCTGGGGTTGAACCAACAACCTAGGTATGTGCCCTGGCTGGGAATTGAATCTGCCACCTTTTGGTGTATGAGACATTGCTCCAACCAACAAGCCACCCAGCCAGGCCCATTTTTTAATTGGATTGTCTGTGTTTTTTGCTGTTGAGTTGTCTGAGTTCTTTATAAATTTTGGATATTAACCCCTTATCAGTTTTATCATTGACAAATACCTTTCCTCATTCAGTAGGTTGTATTTTTGTTTTGTTGATGAGTTCCTTTGTTATGCAAAAACTTTTTAGTTTGATGTAGTCCTATTTGTTCATAATTTTTCTTTGTTTCCATTGCAGAGGAGATACATTACAAAAAAAAATACTTCTAAGAGAAATGTCAGTGATTTTCCTGTCTTGTGTTTTCTCCTGGGAGTTTTATGGTTTTGAGTCTTAAATTAATCTATTTTGAGTTTATTCTTCTGTGTGGTGTAAGAGAGTGGTCTAGTTTCATTTTTTGCATGTATCTGTCCAACTTTCCTAACACTATTTATTTAATAGACTATCTTTACCCCATTGTATGTTTTTGCCCCCTTTGTCAAATATTGACTATAAAGGCATTTATTTCTGGGCTCTTTATTCTGTGCAATTGATCTATGTGTCTGTTTTTTGCCATTACCATGCTGGTTTGATTACTATGGTCTTGTAGTATAGTTTGATATTAGGTAACATGATACCTACAACTTTGCTCTTTCTCAAGGTCACTGTTGCTATAGAGCAGTGGTTCTCAATCTTCCTATTGCCGTGACCCTTTAATACAGTTCCTCATGTTGTGGTGACCCCCAACCATAAAATCATTTTCGTTGCTACTTCATAACTGTAATTTTGCTACTGTTATGAATCGTAATGTAAATATCTGATATGCAGGTTGTATTTTCATTGTTACAAATTAAACATAATTAAAGTATAGTGATTAATCACAAAAACAATATGTAATTATATATGTGTTTTCCGATGGTCTTAGGGGACCCCTATGAAAAGGTCGTTCAACCCCCAAAGGATCACGACCCACAGGTTTTGAACCGCTGCTATAGGGGGTCTTTTGTGGTTCCATATAAATTTGTTGGCATAGTTGTTTATAATGTTTTCTACTACTCTCTCTAAAAGATCAATAGAAAAATATCCTCGGGTGAGGATTAAAAAAAGTAGTTTTCTTACAGTCCTTTCTATTTCTTTGGTTTCAGTTCTTTCATTTTTTATATTATTTATTTGGATCCTTTGTCTTTTTTCTTGATGAGTCTTGTTAAAGGTTTGTCATTGTTTATCTTTTCAAACAACTAGATCTTGGTTTCATTGATCTTTTTTATTGTTTTTGTTTTTACTCCTTTTATTTCTGTTCTGAACTTTATTATTTTCTTTTTTCTTCCTCCTACTCACTTTAGGCTTTCTTTGTTGTTCTTTTCCTAATACCTTTAAGTGTAAAGTTAGAATGTTTATTTGACCTTTTTCTTCTTTCTTGAGATAGGCCTGTAATGCTATGATTTCCCCCCTAAGGACTGCTTTCCATGTATCCCACAGATTTTGGGTTGTGTGTTCTCATTTTCATTCGTTTCAAGGTATCTTTTGGTTTCTTCCTTGATCTCATTGCTAACTCATTCATTGTATAGTAACATGTTACTTAGCCTCCATATTTTTGTGTGTTTTTTCAGTTTTCGCCTTGTGATTGATTTCTAGTTTCAGAGCATTATGGTCAGGGAAGTTGCTTGATATGAGTGGCTGTAAATAAATTTTTTTCTGTTGGCCCTTTAAGAGGATGCCCTGGCAGACAGAGATCATGCTGCTTTTCATAGCAGGATGTTTTAAGTGAGCACCATTTCTGGTTCTGGTGCTCTAGGCTTGGGAACCTGTCTTGGGGTTTAGACCCCAAACTTTTCAGGGGGAACCCCCAACAATTGAGATATCCCCATAGGAGCCCAGCCAGCCCTCTCATGCCTCCATACTTCCTACCAGTTTCAATATGGCTACTTCTATAAGTCCTTGATTAATAAGGCTTCTCTCCAGCTAGTCTTCAGTTGGTTATTCAGGATGATTTTTGTATTATTTAGTTGTAATTCCAGTTTGGTCCTGGGAGGAGGTTAGTATAGCTTCCAACTAATCCACTGCCATCTTGGATCTCTCTGTATTTTTAATAAATAATCTTTTTTACATTTTTTTAAAATTGATTTTTAGAGAGAGTGGAAGAGAGAGATAGAGAAACATCCATTTGTTGTTCCACTTATTTATGCATTCATTGGTTGATTTTTGTATGTGCCCTGACTAGGAATCGAACCCTCAACTTTGGCATATCGGGATGATGTTATAAGCACCTGAGCTACCTGGCCAGGGCATCTTTTGCCCACTTTTTAACTGAATTCTTTATTTTTTTTAAGTCTCCTTTAGTTCTTTGAATCTATTTATAATAGCTGCTTTACATTTTTAGTTTACAAAATCCAAAAACTGGGCTCCTCAGGGACATTTTTAATGGTTTGCTTTTTTTGTTGTTGTTCATATTTCTTATTTTTATTTTTAAGCCTGGGTTGCTTGGATCAGCCACTGGGTCAGTATAAATTGGTGGTCAGCCAAGGATAGATCAGAAGATTTCTTTAAATGCCTTAAACCATTAAGTTTACCACCTTTTGCCAAGGGGATCTTTGTGTGAAGATATACCTCAAACTTTTGGCAGTTTATAAATCAGTCTTAGCTTTCATTTCTTACTTCCAAAGTCAGCCAGAGTTGAGTGACTGGGATCTTTTCTTCTGTCTCTTTCTTTTCTTGGGCAGGTTCATAGTCCTGCACATGCACGTATACATTTAGATCCCCAAGAATATGTTGGAACCTTTCAAAGTTCCTTATGGCCATCTAGTTCTCCAGGCCTTCCTTTTAAGTTTCTAGCCAGGCTTTTGTTTTCCACATACATAATTAGGTTTAGACAGTTGTGATGTAATTAGCATATTGCTACGTTTTTTTCCTAAAAAAGCTGAGGTCTGAATCAAATGAAATGATAACACCCTGGAAATGGAGATTTTCCAGGGAGGTGATACTTTGGTCAAAATCAGTGGTTCTCAACCTTCCTAATGCCGTGACCCTTCAATACAGTTCCTTATGTTGTGGTGACCCCCAACCATAGAATTATTTTCGTTGCTACTTCATAACTGTAATTTTGCTACTGTTATGAATCGTAATGTAAATATCTGATATGCTATATGTGTTTTCCGATGGTCGCGGCCCACAGGTTGAGAACTGCTGGTCAAAATACTGACTGTGTCCAAGGGATGGGAATTTTAGTGAAGCTCCAATGAAACATCCTTGGCTATGATGATGCTGGCTTTCATGGCTACCACACCTCTGAGCTTGAGAGGGTAACAGATAGGAATAGCCCCAAATTAAAATTTCACAGCCTGGAGTGCTCTTGTTGATATTCATTTGTTTTACTTCAATTGATGCTTTTCCATTCATTCTGTGGCTTTGGTTAATTTCCTATGTTCTGTGTGTTGTTTTTTTCCCCAATGTTTTGCGAGTATTTTATTGCTGTTGTAGGGGAGTGGTTTGGTTCACTTAGGTCCTGAGTTTTCTGTTACAGATAGTAATTTGTTGTGTCTCTAGTTTTGATAGAAAAACAATGTCTCCTGGTCTCCTTGAAATATTGCTTTTGAAATATTTATTATGCATATAAATTGTGGTTTATAAATGATAGATAAAACATCACTTTTTCTTTTTGCAAAAACTATTAAGCATACGTTTGGGACAATTACATTCTTTCTTTTTCAGGTTCCTATTAGTTCTCATTCTACAGATCCATCTGATAATATTGAGGTACAATCTTTGCCATGTCAAAGGGAATACAGTGAAACTGTGAACACCGAAGCTTTAATGACAGTATATCACCCTCAGAATATGGAGACTCTTAATTCCAAAATGGTACAGAAACAAAATATTTATTACTATGGACTGAAACACTTGATTAAAAATGAAAATCTTGGAACAGAACAGTGGTCGCCAGCCTTTTGGACCTCACAGACCACCAGTGGTCTGAGGACCACTGGTTGGTGACCGATACTCCAAAGGTTTCCTTAAACCAGCGGTCGCCAACCTTTCGGACCTCACGGACCACCAGTGGTCCACGGACCACTGGTTGGCGACCACTGGACTAGAAGGTACCGCAATTGAACACTCTTTTGGGGCTTGAAAAGGTTTTCCAGCAGGTACTTCTATGTAACTTGTTTGGTTCCATTACACAAAAGGACTGTTACCATGAATTAAGATAAAGGATAAAAGTTGAACATTGGGCTTTAATTGTACATATTTCTAATAATCAGTCCTAATCAAGGTTATTTGGGGAGAATGATGGTTCAAACCTTTACCTCCTAAAAGTATTGATATTGCCATTTTATATGAGTTTAGCTAAGCATTAAAATAGTAAATTAAATCTGTTATGCTCACATGGATTTAAAAGATTTTTGTGATGACAATAGACCAGTTTGGGGCCCATCTGAATACTGATTTTGAGTTTCTACAATCTTGATTTCCAAACGTATTATTTCATGATGATGAGAGCTATCAAGTTATTTGAAAGAAGTTAATGTCTCATTATGTTTAGTTGCTTAGATTTTTTGTTGTTGTTATAGTTGAAAGAAAAGATGAAGGAACAGTCATGGAACATCCTATTTTCAGAATGTGGGCGTGGTGTTACCATGTTTCGGACTAAAAAGACTCGAGATCTGGTTATAAGAGGGATTCCAGAGACCTTAAGAGGAGAGCTCTGGATGCTTTTTTCAGGTATTACATTTATTTATTTAGCAGACATTAATTATGCCCCTTCTAGGACTTATGCACCAAGCTACCTAAAAATAATTGCAAAGATGGCTAGGATAAAGTTATTCATCATGAATCCAGACTAATCACAGAAGGAATGTTAGTTTTGTGTACTTACTGATATATGAACACATCCATTGTCTAAGCAGATTATTTAATTAGGCAAGTTATAGCTAATTGGTCAGAGGGATCTCTATCTCTAGTGTCAAAGGAAAGTTAAGAGGAAAAACGGTTCATGAAAATGTTATTCTGTTGGATAAGATTGGTGTTGTACTCATGTTATAGATTCTAGGGTGAAGGTTTTTCTTTCATTTGTACTCAGATATCACTTGAGCATAAAGCTAAATTTAAAGGTATTCCAATTCTTCATGTATAGATGCAAGAAGTAGTTTAATTACGTTCCTCTTCTTTTGTGTGTTAATGTAATCATCTTTACAGGCGCTGTTAATGATATGGCTGCTCATCCTGGCTATTATGCTAAAGTGGTTGAACAGTCCTTAGGGACCTGCAATTTGGCTACTGAAGAAATTGAACGTGATTTACGTCGCTCCCTGCCTGAGCACCCAGCCTTTCAGAGTGACACTGGCATATCTGCTCTGAGGCGAGTACTCACTGCTTATGCATACAGGAATCCCAAAATTGGATACTGCCAGGTATGACTTTGTTATGAACCCAACTGTGTTAATGTTCCAAGTGATAAAAATCACATCAAATCCAACTCAAATAGTTTGAAAAGTACAGAGGTTGAGTTAATTAATAGTGCATATTATTAATCTAAGTAGAATGATAGTGATAATATTTAGGATTATTGACATTTTATTAATTTGTTTCTCTTTTATATTTAACCAATGTTTACTGAATCCCTGCTCTTTAAAAAATATAGTTTAGTGTCTGTGTTGGACAAAACGATCTGTAATTACAGCCAAGTACATTCCGTTCACAGGGCACACCCAGGGAATAAGAATAACATGCTATTATGACTAAGTTGTAAAACCTATGCACATCCCTTGCATTTTGGGCATCTTTATTAAAAGAAACAACAACAAAAACAAAACTGATTTTTGTTAATAATAATCATATAGTGAAATGTGTTTGTAATTTTGTCTCAGTTTAATTTGTTGTAAGGTGGGAGGGGGAATTGCTTGTTTCACCATTTCAGATCTGTGTTGTCTGAGAGTATTAACATTTTTTTTTTGAACTTAGAATAAAAGGGTTTTATTAATTATAAAGATGTCTTCCCTGCTTTTAAAACTTTCCCCTAAGTTGATTTCATTTCTCTTCTTTTTTTTTTATGTTAACCTCACATGACTTTATTACAATTATTTTTTAATTATTATTTTTCAATTACAGTATTAAATGAGGATTTTTAAAATGTATTTAATTGTTTTAAAAGCACCCATTTTAAGAGAATATAATGTGCAATGAAGAAACCAGTTTAGGCATTTGCTATAAACTGAATTATTCCAAAAGAATAATCTATAACAGCCCTGTAAATTCCTTTAAAATGCTAACTAACAGGACAGTTTGACCAATTTTTTTAAATATACTTCCTCTTATGTGTTCAATATAATATACATATACATATATATATATACACACACACATATATATACACATATATATATACACACACACACATATATATACATATATACATATATATATATATATATATATATATATATAGTTTAAGTGCCAAAGACTATATAAAGATGAATCAGATAAAAATCTTGCCCTTAAAAGTATATAGACTAGTAGGTATTAAAACATACTTGTTGGCAAATGAAAAAAAAAATGAGGAAGATTGTTAGAGAAATATAAAGTCCTGGCAGGATTTAAAATAGGGAAAATTATTTTCATCTAGAGCAGGGGTGGGGAACCTTTTCTTTGTTTGCCAAGGGCCATTTGGATATTTATGACATCATTCGAGGGCCATACAAAATTATCAACTTAAAAATTAGCCTGCTGCTTGGCTGGCTGGCTCAGTGGTTGAGTGTCAACCTATGAACCAGGAGGCCATGGTTCTATTCCTGGTCAGGGCACATGCCTGAGTTGCGAGCTAGATCCCCAGTAGGGGGTGTGCAAGAGGCAGCCGATCAATGATTCTCTCTTATCATTGATGTTTCTATCTCTCTCTCCCTCTCCCTTCCTCTCTGAAATCACTAAAAATATATTTTTAAAAATTAGCCTGCTATATGTGGTCAAATGTTTAACTCAGCCCTAATGCCTTGGCAGGGCCAAGCCAAATGATTTCGTGAGCCTTATATGGCCTGAGGGGCCAGATGTTCCCCACCCTGATCTAGAGGAATCAGAGAAGGTTTCATGGAACAGGTAGCATTTGTAGGTCTTGAAAATTATGAATTTTAGTTCTGTGGAGATGGAATGAAAGAACATAGCAGATGAAGGGATCAGTCTAAACAAGCACATATAAAGGTAAATGTGAAATGTATATAAGACCCTGTTCTGTTTAGTGAAAGTATGATGAATGAAGCAAAGTGACTGGAGAAAAATAATTACTAAGGTACCTTAGGATTGGTCAGGAGTTTGAATTTTATTTTGTAGGCAGTTGCATAATCATAGAAAAAAATCCTTTAGGAGCACACCGTATTTATTAGGATATGTTAGACAGTGACACAAGTAATTTCAAACAGGTAATATCTCTAAACATAAAAGTTTACTTAAAGGAATAAACAGAGATGAGTGGGTTTTTAAGTCAGTAGGCAGCTCTCCATGAGATTATTCAAGGACTTAAGCTAGTAGCAGGCTTGATAATCTTTAAAACATGGCTTCCAAGGTGTTCTTTTATTGCTATTACTACTCAGAGGAAAGAGGAGAGAGTATGGAGACAAAATTGTGGGAGATTCTATCTAGGCCTGGAAAGTGCATACCTCATTTCACCTACATTCTTTTTTTTTATTTTTTAATTATAGTTGACATACATTATTATATTAGTTTCAGGTGTGCACCCCGGTGATTAGACATTACATAACTTACTAAGTGATCATCCTTATAAATCTCACATTCATCTGTCACCATACATAGTTATTGGAATAGTATTGACTATATTCCCTATGCTGTACTTTACATCCCCACAACTATTCTGTGACAACCAATTTGTACTTATTTTTTTAAATTTAAATTCTTTATTGTTTAAAGTACTACATAAACCTGCTTTTCCCCCCATTGACCTCTCTCCATCCGCCTCCACCCACAAGCACATGCCCTCACTCCCCCGCCTCCCTGTCTGTGTCCATTGGTTATGCTCATATGCATGTCTACAAGTCCTTTGGTTGATCTCTTAACCCCCTCACCCCTGCCTTCCCTCATAGATTGGACAGGCTATTTGGCGCCTCTATGACTCTGGTTCTATTTTTGTTCATCAGATTATGTTGTTCATTATATTCCACAAATGAGTGAGACCATGTGATATTTATCTTTCTCTGACTGGCTTATTTTGCTTAGCATAATGCTCTCCAGTTCCATCCATGCTGTTGCAAATGGTAAGAATTCCTTCTTTTTTAGAGCAGCATAGTATTCCATTGTGTAGATGTACCACATTTTTCTCTCCACGCATCTGCTGATGGGCACTTAGGCTGTTTCCAAATCTTAGCTATTATGAATTGTGCTGCTATTAACATAGGAGTGCATATATCCTTTCTGACTGGTGTTTCTGTTTTCTTGGGATATATTGCTAGAAGTGGGATTACTGGGTCAAATGGAAGTTCCATTTTTTATTTTTTGAGAAAACGCCATACTGTTTTCCACAGTGGCTACACCTGTCTGCCTTCCCACCAGCAGTGCAAGAGGGGATCTTTTTCTCCGCATCCTCTCCAGCACTTGTTATATGTTGATTTGTTGATGATAGCCATTCTGACAGTTGAGAGATGGTACATCAATGTTGTTTTGATTTGCATCTCTTGGATGATTAGTGACTTTGAGCATGTTTTTATATGTCTCTTGGCCTTCTGTATGTTCTTTTTCGAAAAGTGTGTACATCCATTGACCATTTTTTGTTTGGGTTGTTTATCTTCCTTTTGTTAAGTTGTATGAGTTTCCTGTGAATACTGGAGATTAAACCCTTATTGGAGATAGCATTGACAAATATGTTCTCCCATTTAGTGGGCTTTCTTGTTTTGTTGATGGTTTCTTTTGCTGTGCAGAAGCTTTTTATTTTGATGTAGTCCCACTTGTTTATTTCCTCTTTAGTTTCCGTTGCCCTAGGAGCTGTATTGATATTGTTAAAGATATTGCTATGACAAATATCTGCTACTTTGCTGCCTATGGCTTCTTCTAAGATTTTTTAGGGTTTCCCGTCTTACGTTTAAGTCCTTTATCCATTTTGAGTTTATTTTTGTGTATGGTGTAAGTTGGTGGTCTAGCTTCATTTTTTTTTGCATGTATCTGTCCAATTTTCCCAACACCATTTATTAAAGAGACTGTTTTGACTCCATTGTATACTCTTGCCTCCTTTGTCAAATATTAATTGAGCATAATGGGTCGATTTTTGGATTCTCTGTTCTGTTCTATTGGTCTATATGTCTGTTCTTGTGCCAGTACCAGGCAGTTTTGAGAACAGTGACTTTGTAGTATAGCTTGATATCTGGTATTGAGATCCCACCTACTTTGTTCTTCTTTCTCAGGATTGCTGCAGCTATTTGGGATCTTATTTTTTTTATTCCAGGTGAATTTTAGAGAGTTTGTTCTAGGTCTTTGAAGTATGCCATTGGTATTTTAATGGGGAGTGCATTGAATCTATAGATTGCTTTTGGTAGTATGGACATTTTAATGATGTTGATTCTCCCAATCCATGAACACTTTATATTCTTCCATTTGTTTATGTCTTCCTCTATGTCTTTTTTCAGCGTCCTATAATTTTCTGAGTACAGGTCCTTTACCTCCTTGGTTAAATTTATTCCTAGGTATTTTAATTTTTTTGATGCAATGATAAATGGGATTTTTTTTTTTTTAGTTTCTCTTTCTGTGAGTTCATTATCGGTGTATAAAAAAGCCATAGATTTCTGGGTGTTAATTTTGTATCCTGCTACATTGCTGAATTCATTTAATTCTAGCAGTTTTTTGATGGAGTCTTTAGGGTTTTCTATATACAATATCATGTAATCTGCAAATAATGACAATTTTTCTTCTTCTTTCCCAATTTGAATGTCTTTTATTTCTTCTTCTTGTCTGATTGCTATGGCTAGCACTTCCAGTAGTATGTCAAATAGGAGTGGTGAGAGTGGGAATCCCTGTCTTGTTCCTGTTCTTAGGAGAAATGGTTTTAGTTTTTGCCCATTATGATGTTGGCTGTAAGTTTGTCATATGAAGCTGAGAATTTTTATTAAAAAAATGTGTTGGATTTTATCAAATGCCTTTTCTGCATGAATTGATATGATTATGTGATTTGTGTCTCTCAATTTGTTTGTGTGATGTATCACGTTTATTGATTTGCGGATATTGTACCAGTCTTGCATTCCTGGAATAAATCCCACTTGGTCATGGTGTATGATCTTTCTAATGTAATGCTGGATCTGGTTTGCTAGAATTTTGTTGAGGATTTTAGCATTTATGTTCATTAGGGATATTGGCCTGTAATTTTCTTTCTCAGTCGTGTCTTTATCTGGTTTGGGGATTAGCATAATGCTGGCTTCATAGA